CAGGCTGGAGAGTTGGGCAGAGAGAATCCTGATGAAATTCAACAAGGGGAAGTGTAGGGTGCTGCATCTGGGGAGGAATAACCCCATGCATCAGTACAGGTTGGGGGCTGACCTCTTGGAGAGCAGCTCTGTGGAGAGGGACCTGGGAGTCCTGGTGGACAACAGGATGACCATGAGCCAGCAATGTGCCCTGGCGGCCAAGAAGGCGAATGGCATCCTGGGGTGCATCAAGAAGAGTGTGGCCAGCAGGTCGAGGGAGGTCATCCTCCCCCTCTACTCTGCCCTGGTGAGGCCGCATCTGGAGTACTGCATCCAGTTCTGGGCTCCCCAGTTCAAGAAGGACAGGGAACTGCTGGAGAGGGTCCAGCAAAGGGTAACGAAGATGATTAGGGGATTGGAACATCTCTCCTATGGAGAAAGGCTTAGGGACTTGGGTCTCTTTAGTCTAGAGAAAAGAAGATTGAGGGGGGATCTTATTAATACTTACAAATACTTAATGGGAGGATGCCAGGGGGATGGGAGTAGTCTTTTTTCAGTGGCGCCCAGTGATAGGACGAGGGGTAATGGGCATAAACTTGAACATAGGAAGTTCCATCTTAACATGAGAAGGAACTTCTTTACTTTGAGGGTAGTGGAGCACTGGAACAGGCTGCCCAGAGAGGTGGTGGAGTCTCCCACTCTGGAGACATTCAAAACCCGCCTGGACGCTGTCCTGTGTAACGTGCTGTAGGTGACCCTGCTCTGGCAGGAGGGTTGGACTAGATGATCTCCAGAGGTCCCTTCCAACCCTAACAATTCTGTGAATTCTGTGAACTTTAGCAGCAGCAGATGGCATACAGCAACATTGTCACAATGGAAGTAGTTGACACTGTTAAATTTGCGTGGTCCTCGGGGTGCAGGGATTAGGCCTTTTATGTGTTTGTCCAAAACCTATATGGAATGGATTTGTTAGGCCCCGCTGCTGTTATACTGGTTACATGCATCGAAAACAATGCTTTACCAAACAGCAATAAGATCGAGGAATTGTCAGAAGTTGACTCGGCACGTGTCCTCCTTGCGGAGGGAGAAGTTGGCAGCCCCTGGAGAAAGGACAGGTAAAGCAGCAGAAAGCAACCCAGCTTCTGGCAATACTTGCAGAGATAAGTGCCGTGCCTTGTGGCAGCTCTCGCTGCCTCTCTCTCACCCAGCCCCACCGCTGCCCTCGCCGCTGGGCATCGGGGAGACTTGGGCCACAGGCACGGACGAGTCTTTAAAATGCAAGCGCACGGTTGTATGCTGGCTGCTGAGCAGGTTGTTGTACAGAAATGTCTTGGGGATTTGGGTGCAGAGGTTGAAGAGGAGGCGGGCTGTGAAATTCCCAGGGGTTTTCCTGTCCTTGATGGATCAAAATGATTGCTGACAGCCAAGCTGAGCCCTCACCACTTATCTGGGCTGGCCAGGGGAAGCTTGCATCCTTCAGTAGAAAAGAAAAAGCTTCTTCGGTCACTTCTGGAGAGGCAGGAGAGCAGGGAAAGAAAAACACTATTTTTTTTCCTGCCCCCTGATTTCTAAAACAAGGGAAATCTGGAAAGAGCAGCTTAAAGCAAGAGTGCCATCTCCCTAAACAGGATCTCACTGCCCGAGAGCATGTTGCAGGAGGTAAGGAAATAGATGGATTTAGGGTTTGTTGCGCAAGAGAATTACTCTATGCAAATGCAACTTTTGGGGGGGGAAACAAACCAAAGAGAGAAAGACAGCCTTTGAATGGTAGTATTTTAACAGCAAAAAGGCCAAGTTATATTGTAGAATCAGAAACACAGGGAGCACTGTGTCAGCTCAGCCCAGGGATCCTTTCTGCTGGGCATCCTGTTCCCTGCTGGCAGGAGTCAAGGCTGGAAAGCTCAGGAGTCCCTGCTATGGAGGGTTTCACAATAGCCTGTGAGCAAAAGCAGTACATGATCCTTAAAGTTGGGTATTTCACAAAAATGTGCAATCATTGCATAAGAAAAAGATTTGATGGAAGATACAGTTTTGACTGAAAATGCAATTTCAGAGTTGGAATGTCTATGAGAAGATTTAAAAGGGGCACAGATATGAAAAAAGATCAGAGTTGGGGTTAGCAGTTCATCTAAGCAGTCCGATACACGTGCCACAAAGAGAACCATTTCTTCTCTTAAGTAACAAATAAAAAGAACATGAAGACTGAAGATGGCTCTGAGAGGAGCTATTTTCCTGTTGGTACCATGGGAAAGGTGGTGCTGTGATATAACCTACCCCAGTAAAAGAACGGCTGCAAAAATAAGCTGAACTGCGTGCATTTGTCCCAAGCATGAAGGAACATACCTTTAATCTTTCTCCTGGGTATCAGGTTAACAACTTAGCGAAGGTTACGGTGTGTCCCCACTAAGCTGAGTTATTTCCAGTATTGTAGAGTAGATTTAAAATGAGTATCATCCTTAAATACTTCTCCTTTGCTTTTTTTTATTGGCAGGTTAGAGTAAGTTAGCCTGCTATATACAGCTTTTTGAGAGAATACACTTTCTGTTATCCAAAAGGCTATTTTTATGCTAAAGGTAAATGGCTGGTTTTCCTAAAGGTCAATACTTACAGGGAGCCACAGGAAAATGTTCATACCTAATAGCGTAGAGTCTGAGGCACCTTCCTGATTTTAAATTTTTGACAATGTAAATTTCACTTTTTGCCTTCTCTCTTAAGAGCTGTCAAACACTAAATATATCTCATATCCAATGAAACAGCTCACAAGATGGCTTTCTTAGCTCTGTTTTCATAGGTGGTTAGCAAGATAGCCAGGATACGGTAGGTTTTGAACACACAACAGCTATTGAGCTCATACAGCAGAGGTAAAATACCTAATTAAAATTTAGAGACTGTTCTTACCCACTCTAGTTTGATGGAGTTTTATATTACTGTAATGTTCAGTGAAGGAAGAAAGTAATTTGTGGAGCAGCAGGTATTCAATGGAGAAGTCTTGACTGAGGTGTCTTTATGCCTCTCTTCCAAGTAATCAAGAAAGGTCAATTTTTGTTAAGTAGAAATACCTAAACCAATCTCTTTTGAGATCCAGTTGATCCCAAGTACAGATACCTGTATATATCCAGGGAGGGGAACCTAATGGGGCCTAGTGGGGAGATGAAAAATACATCCCCTTCTTTTTGTTTGTGGAGTTGCATGCTTTCTGAGCCAGACAACAAAACCCAGGGCTGGTACTGCTGGGTTTGATCAGCTGGTTTTGAAGTCCTGCAGCAAAAAAAAATTGTTGCAGAATTGTTCCTGTTGCCTTATCTTTTTGTGCGTATTACTTTGTCTAAAAAGTGAACGTGAGTGTCCAAGCTGGAAGGGCCGTCTCTTGCAAGTAGCTCTTCAAAGCTGTTTGCTGCCTTCTCATTTATTGCTGGGTGCAGTGCTGTCTTGTTGATGATGTTCGTGGGGCTGCTCACAGTCCTGCATAACTTGGAGAGAAGAGTTTTCAGAAACAGTTGTCTCTTCAGACAATGTTGTAGCCTCCAGGTACTGGGTTTGATACTGGGTTTAGTGGAGAAGTATCCCTATCACCAGCCACCTTTATTTTAGACTTTCTTAGGAGATTTGGACTGAGCTTGGGACCTAACTTACCTTTCATTTAAAAAAAAAAAAACAAAACGGGGTGGGGTGGGGGCAGGGAAGAACCTGTCAAACAAACTCTGTCTTGTGTATCGCAGGATGCTTTCTGTCTGAATGCACAGGAGAGGGTACAAAGTATGTTGGATGGCGGTAAAGTGGGGAAACATGGGGTGTGCTGTGAATTAAACGAGAATCTGACCCTGGTTGTTTCTTTTCACGGCAGGTGGACGCTGCAGTGACACCAGAGGAGCGCCACCTTTCCAAGATGCAGCAGAATGGCTACGAAAATCCCACCTACAAGTTCTTTGAACAGATGCAGAACTAGGACACCACAGCAGCCTCATGAGTTGGACAGCAGAATGATTGCTTCACTGCCCATCGGTGTTCAGTTATAGAATAATGTGGAAAGAAAGAAAAACACTCTGTTTTATTATTTACTCATTCTCGCCTTTTGACAGCTGTGCTGTAACACAAGTAGATGCCTGAACTTGAATTAATAAAATCAGTAATGTATTTTCTCTCTCTTTCTCTTTACATTTCAGTCTTTACACTACATTATTAATGAATGTTTTTTGTGTACTGTAAAGAGGTTAGCTGTATTTAACTAGTGCATGGATAGATTCTCTTTCCCAATTATTTATCATGTAGCTCCTTAGCCAGTTGTATATTATTCTTGTGATTTGTGACAAAAATTAAGTCCTAATTGAAATATGCTTTAAGAATTGTTGGGGGATGCTTTCTGTGTCTGTGGGGTTTAGCTGCTTCTCTTTGCTGAGCATTTTTTTCTGATCACTATGCATTTTAAAGTAAAACAACATTTTTTAAAAAGTATTCCAGATGAGTTATTGAAATTCTTTTCCTCTGCAGCTGCATTTTATTGTACAGATTGTTGCTCCTGCTGTATTAGTGACGTAGAAATCATGGGAATACACATTCGTTTCTTTGTGCCTGTTTTATGTGCACACTTTAGGCATTGAAAGGTAAACTTTATTTTCTTTTCCATGTATCTTTTTGATCTTAAAAAAATATTAAAAAGAATCCCTGTTAATTGTGAGCACTTCTGGGGGGGGAAAGTGCCTGCTGGTCGAAAATTAACGGGGATCCTCTGCAGGATGATTGTACAGAACCATTGCTTATGAATTGATAGCTTTCTACACTGTGTTACATAAATAAATTAAGAAAAAAACGTTTGGGCAAGAGTTTTCTTTGGAGGCAGAAAACAAAGATTTCTGCAAGCCACTTAAACAGAAAACATGGATGTTCACACTGAGAGAGGGTTGGGAAGGGATATTCCTACAAGAATCACGGCACTTGCAGTTGGACCAGAGTGGAAAGAAGGCGGCAGCAAGACAGGGTGGGAATGAGGGGCGCCAACTTTGGCACATCTGCCCCTCTAAGACATCTCTTTTTTTTTTTTCTTCTGTCTTTCTTTCTTTCTTTCTTTCAGTTTGTATAATAGTGTTTTAATGTAAATAAATACATTCCTGGAGGAGCCCTGTTGTGGTGTGTTTCTGTGCTGACCAGCCGCCCTCGCTCGTGCAGAGAAGCCCCCTGGCAATGACCAACCTCCCCCCTCCCCGCCTCTCCTCAGGAGCGACTTGCCAGCAAGCTCTTCTCTTGCCACCGCTGCTCCGCTGCTGTTGGCTTCCTGGTGAGATCAATGCCCTGCGACGGCGATGTGCCTCCTCGGTGAGCACCAGGAGGAGCCTTCCAGGCTGCAAGACCATCCAGCCCGGTACTGCAGCATGACAGCGGGTGTCCAGGAAGGGTAAAACAGCACCACCGGTAATTTTTTCCCAAAAGCTGATCTTTAGGCTGGCCTCTGTACCCAGCTCATAGCAAGGACCTCTCAGATGGAGCTTGGAGATCAGCTGATGGAGCTAAAAATTGGGTTATGAAGTAAAACGAGAGGCGCGTGTTGCATGAAAAAGAAAGCTAATCGCTGTTCCTTTGTAGCAACCAGATGAAATAAAGCAGGACTGAGGAAGGCGAGCTAGGAGCAGGAAAAAGACAGCAAGATAAATGTCTGGGGAAAGCTTCTTGCTAACTCATTGTATCTGCAAGCCATGGCAGTCTCTTGCCTGAGGCGTTTGCCTCCACAGCGAGATGGAGCGGGGCTGCACCGCACTGCCCAGGGGAGTCGCTCCAGACCTCGACTAAGACAAGACTACGGTTTCCAACCCTGTTGCACTGACTTGTCCCTCTTCCCTGTCCATGACCTTCCACAAAACCTCAGCTGCTCGGCCAATTTGCCTGCTGCCTGGGGCCGCAGCCATGCTGGCCGGCTGAGCAGGAGGTATGTTCATTCCATGAGGGGACAGCGGGGGGCAGGTAATTTCCCAAGCTGCCTGCCAGGATGCAGGATGCTGAAGAGACACCTGCTACTATGGACCAGTAGCAGGGAAAACTGCAGAGCTTCCCATTGCCCATCACCAACCAAGTGTTTATTCCCGTTGCTCTCCGATCCCCGCTATATCAAAGGGAATTCAGGGCAAGGGACTGGAGCTCGGCAGGCCCTGGAGTGCCAGTGTGTTATAAAGAATGTATAGAACCTCCCTGGAGGATTCACCACCTCTGGTTTTAAAGCTGGACTCTTCAGGCCAGAATGACGGGTGGTGCTCAGCAGAGGCCTTCAGGCCTAAAATTGCTCCACAAGAACCAAAAAGGTTCTGTTTCATAAATATTTAGGGATAGGCTGGTGTCTGCTTGTGTATGTCTTGTTATATAGGTCACATATAACCCCTAGAAAGGAATACATAAGACTCCCTTCTGTGCGGATGTCCAGTATAATAGAAAAAGATCCCGCTCTGGGGGGAAGGCAGGATGTAATTCAATTTAGTGAAATCTCATTAAAGGAGAATTATCAAAATTCCTTTTAGGAGAAGCTGGAGTATTCCATAAAGTATAGAGGGCCACCAGCCTTTAGAGCAAATCCCATTTATAATACCATAATCCCATGCAATCCCAGTTACAGAAAAATGCGATTACTTGGAAGAGTAATTCCCAGACAGTCAAACTTCCTGGTGTGGCGTTATTTGTCCAGTGAGACACTGGTGCTGCTCTTGCTACTCATGAACCAACTCTTAATTAATCATGCCGTTTTGCACACTGATTAAGTGATCAGTTTTTATGATTGCCTCCACATAGGCGCACCCCTGAAAGAAAGGCAGTAACTGCACACCGTGACGTGCATGTAAAGCACAGGGGGTGAAGAAAAGTTCCTGAAACTTCAAGACAAACAGTCCTACGGCTGCTGCAACCCCAAAAGCTGCCTAGCCATTTATCACAGCTCCCAGGTAACTGCGGCAGCCTCCTGCCTGTCTCGAACCATGCAATCTCCTTATTGTGAAAAGATTGTATTAGGAGTGAATAAAAACATGTTGACAGGCTCATAAAATAGCGAAGCTGACAGAGGACAGTCGCTAAGCACCTCGCTTCCAAGTGCGGGATTGATTGGGCATCATCCACTTCAGCAATAAACCGAGTGGGGCAGTTACGTGCAGCTACAGACTGGAAACAAAATTCCACTCCCCAGCCTTGAGGAAATTACTCTTAGAGGGAAGAGAAAAATAAAATAAAAATATCCCTGGCTGTTGAGTTGATACATTTAATGGGAAAAGTTTTCTAGCCTGAGTTATTTTGACAGAATGGGGTTAGGGAGTGCTTGCGCTGCGGGTCCACCAGCCGAGCTGGTGAGGGTGGTCCCTGGTGAGGGGGAGCGGTGCTGGGCAGGGATGAGGGTCACCCCAACCTCCTCAGCTGCTCACACACCCACTGGCTTTCAAAGATGCCGGCAGTCCCCCTCCTGGTTTGCACAGATCCACTCAGATTAGTGAGTACCAGGTGCAAGGTGAACGTTATCAGGCACATGCTAGAAAAGCCACCCTAAAAAACATCTCACGCTCTGGGTTCAGTACCTGCCTCTTGCTAAATTAGGTTCTCCAGCTACAGGGTGGTCTAGGAAAATCAAACCAAGGCCTAGTATTGCCCTTGTAGAGAACAGCTTGCAGTGGCTGTATTTTCCATTAGGTCTGTCACGAACCTCGCACAGCTCCGAAGTCTCCATCCTCATTATATCTGCACTTACCAAAGCAATTTTAAGGCCATTGCTGTGTGGCCAAATGGCTCATTTTTATTGTTTAAACTAATGGATTTTGTGGGTGGTGGGTAAGCTGCTGTTAAAATGCCTCCAGGCAGCAAGATTGAAAATATCCTAATGACATATGAGAACAGATTACAAATAATGCTGCATGCAGTGTCCTGATTGTGTTCCTCTGCAATTTTTCCACCACTTGGAAAGTGAAAGTCTCAATTCAGTCAGGCCAGGATGGCTCCTCTCTTTCGCTGCTTCCCAGTAATTCTCTCTTCCACTTTCTTCCAAGAAGAAGCAAGCACTAAATCTTCCCTGCAGCTTTCCACGGTCCTGGGAAATTTATTTGGCTGACTCTACAGAAAAATCTTTTAAGGTTCTAAATATAAGTATTGGGATTTACATAGAGGTAATAAAATATTCTGGCTTTCATGTGATTCTTAGTTAAAACAGAGTTGACTTTGGACGTTGAATTAGAGAATGAGTCTCCCTAGCTAGTACCTCCTGGGTTTGTAACCCAGTTTCTCTAGGGTAGCTCAGTGAAGAAAAGCATCCACACCAATTTCAGACAGAATATCACCTAGATCAAAATATAGACATTCCTCTTTCAAAATGTTGCTAATAGATAAAAAAAAAAAAAAAACAAAGAGAGAGAGAGGGGAAAAAAATAGCTGGCAGAGGGCAGACTCCCCTCAGCAGGGGCTGACCAGCACCTGCAGGAAGCAGATCCTTGAAATAGCAGTGACGCTGCTGCTGGTCCAAAACGGGACATAGTAATATGGCTATTTTGAGTCCCTGATCACCACACCGGGTCCATCTAACTATGCCTACGTGCTGCTTCAGGCTATAGCTCAGGAGAGCATTTCCAGTGCAGGATCATTTTTCTGTTTCACTGGGGGGTTGCGGTGAGGGGTTGGGAGAAAGGAACAAAGTCCCGTTTATGCTATATGCTGCTTCTCTAAAAAGGGTTTATGAAAAAAGCCCTGCACCCCTCCAGCCTTTGCACAGAGATGGGACCAAACCCAGGCTGTGGCAAGTGGTGCTCCCTGCCAGGCTGGCAGGAGGGAACCAAACTCCAGACACGCAGTACGATTTCCAGAGCCCTTTGGAGATACCTTTTTTTATGACCTTTTTGCATGCTAAGAAGCCATCTGGCCCTTGGGGAGAGGGCTGTACCTGCTGTGGGTGGTGCAGGTCGGCCCTGGGGCAGTGGGCCATGCAGACCCTCAGCCTAGTGTCTCTGGCACATGGCTGGCGCAGTCGTCTGTCACTGTGTTACAATGGCAGCACAGTGGCCACCGCTCACCAGGAACGGGCACTCCCTGCCATGAGGCTACTGGCCCCCATGAAGCCCCTGGAACTGCAGGCCCCGGGCACCCCTCTGAGGGCTGCCTGGAGGGGGGATGCTTAACCCTGTGCTTCCACCTGCCCTGCAGCTGTGCTGGCCCACACCGGCCATGTCAAATACACTCCTCCTTCGCTGAACCTTAATGGATCGGCGTCACAGCTGGGGGTAGCTGCAATGTGCTGGTGACACAGGGGTGCACCGCCATGGCAGGCTAGATGGGATCCAGCCCCGTAGTGACAAGTTTGATGTTATGATGCCGTATCAGCAGTAGCAAGGGCTGGAGACTTGCTCCATGTCTTACACGCCTGTGGCCTGGTGACTACCTGGAGGGACTCTGCTGATTGGCACCGTAAGGGCCAGATCTGGGGGGCTGAACCATGGCCAAACTGGCTTTAGCGCCTGGGGAGCCATTATGGAGCCCCTGGTCTGCTGCCAGTGTGCTCTGGCACAGCACCACAAAAGGTGATCGTCACCTGCCTTGCAGGTGTGATCGTTAGAAACCCCTTATTTGCAATTAGCCCAGTCTTTTTTAAAGTATCATTTGTACCCATTACCTCTACGGAGTGTTGTAATATGGTTTGTCTTTTGTTTTTCTGGCATAGAAAACCTGCACTGCCAAGGCACTTGGCTGGTTTTGACAATAGGATTGCTAGAAAATCTACCATTAAAGTCTATGGGCTGCCAAAATTCAATAGCCAAAAGAGTTTAAGAGTCAACAGCCTGTGTTTTGCAAAGCCTAAATTTTACATGATTGATTGGTACAAAAAAAAAATATATATAAGCTAGATATAGAGAATTAAACACTCTATTCAATGACCCAGAATAGGTGTTATCCTTAAAAGCCTCCATAAATGAAGAGGATGTCAGGAGGACCAAGCTGATGACAGGCAGCAAAGACGAGCTGCTTTCCTTCAAGGAAAGCTGGTCAAACCTCCCTCTGCTGCTTGCCAAGCCCTGAAGCCCAGTTCTGGCCTGATCCAGAGAGAGTGTCAGGGCATCCTCTATCAAATCTGTTGACACTGGTGCACACTAAAGGTTAATGCGCCCACAGAGA